CCTCACCCAGAAGGCCAAGGTTGGCGAGCTCAAGGATGACGACTTCGAACGGATCTCAGAGCTGGGAGCTGGCAATGGCGGTGTGGTCACCAAGGTCCAGCACAGACCGTCGGGCCTCATCATGGCCCGGAAGGTGAGTGGAGATGTGTGTAGAGCCCTGGGAAGTGGGAAAGAAATTCAGCCAGAGGCCAGGCCTCCTCGCTAGCTGGCTGCCTTCGGGGATCCTGGATCCCCAGAAAGACCCATTTCCAGCTTCTCGGTGAGGATTCTCCTGAGAGACAGAATCAGTAGGTTGTGTGCCCTGGCGGAATGGAGCCCAGGGCCTCATTAGGCAGCAGTCCCGACTGAGCCTCACACCCAGCCTAAGAGAGGCAGGAGTTGGCTCACAAAATCATGGAGTCTGGCCGTCGTGCACTGTGTAGGCCATGCTGGCAGGCTGGAGCCTCAAGGAATAGCTTATGTTTCCATTGAAGTCCTAAGGCCTTGCTCTTTTCTTGTGACCTTCACCTGCTTAGACAAGGCCCCCTGCATCAGTCACCTGCGTTAATCCGAGTCTACTGATTTAAGGGTTCATCACATCTGAGAAGACCTTCTTGTAGGCAGGACGGTGCACACCTGTGATCCCAGCACCCTGGGAGGCAGAGGCCGGACATTGCAAGTTCAAGCCCACTCTGGGCAACTTAGCAACTTGATGAGACCCTGTCTTTGAATTTAAAAGCTGGGCGTGGGAAGAGCTAGGGATATAGCTCAGTATAAAGGTGGTGGGTTCAATTGTAAACATGAAAAAAAAGAAATTAAAAAGACCTTCCAGGGGCTGTCTGGGTATCTAGAGGTTTGAGCAAACATGGAGCCTCGGCCCAGTCTGTGGCAGTCACCTGACTGTGGCATCCTCACACCCTGGCGCTGTCCACCCGCCCGCCTGCCCGCACTGGCTCCAGGCCAGCCTCTGCTGTGATGGAGAACAGTCCCCGGAGGGCTGGGGACTTGAGACGGAGAGAGTGTGACTCCGGGGACTGGACCTACACATAACAGAGGACTGCGCTAACCACTTCCCGGCTCCAGTGTGATCCTGAGCCACAGCCCGTCACCCTGCAGGGTCCTCAGTGTCTCTGGAGCTCTGTCCCTCTCCCCGTGGATCTCGGTGGGGATTTCACTCTGCAGATGCTTCTTCCAGCCTCTAGAGCACTCCGCACCACACCCCGCGATCCACAGGCCAGCACTTTCTGTTTCTGCCCCTCTGTGTGGACATCCTTTGCCCAGCTGGGGCAGCACCGACCTGCACTCCCAGATCACCAGGGATCCTGAGAACAGCACCAGTCATTATGCACATTGGGTCCCTCGGGTGGTCAAGGGGCCTTTTGGATGGTCCCTGATGCACAAGGTGGCAGATCACCTGTGTCTCCTGCGCAGCGGTGCAGGGAAAAGACACAGGGGCACAGGAGCCAGAGCTCCAGATGCAGAGTGGAACAGGAGTGGGGCAGCATGGACCCACCTGGCCAGCATCTACATGGTTTGCAAGGGTTATCCTGGCCCCTGTGACCTGCTCGCCAAGCCCAGCAGATCTACAACGCCTGAGAAAATCGCACTAGAATTTTGCTTGTCTGTAAATGTTCCTGCTATCTACTATGGCCTTTGGTCCCTTCCTGTGTACTCCTGTGAGCTGGAGGAGCCAAATCCCTGTGTCCCTTGAGGCGGGAGAGACCAGCAAAGACGTTGGTGCATCTGTTTTGCACTTGGGCTTCTTTCAGTCCCTTTGTCCCCAGGGAGACCTGGCTCACCAGCCTTGTGTCCACATTCCTATTCTTGTCTGTGCAGGTCCAGGATGGCAGTTACAGGCACGCTCAGAGCCACTGACTACTGCTCCTCTTACCACAGCAGATGCTGTTCCCTCATGTTTTCTCATTTAAATCTAGAGCATAGCTGGGCATGTGCCTTGTGCCTGTTTTCCTAGTGCACTAGAAGGCTGAGGCAGGAGGATCACAAGTTCAAATACATCCTAGACAGCTTACTGACTTAGTAAGACCTGTCTCAAAATAAAACAGTTTAAAAAGGTTGGGGGTATATCTCAGTGTGAAGGCCCGGGCTCAGTCCCCAGTACAGGGGTACATAAATCCAGTCCAACTATATGGGTTAGAAACCCAAGACCCAGTTGGGTCAGGGTCTGGAATGGGTGTGGACCCTCGAAGGACCGTTGACCTTGGACCCTGACATGGTGACAGCTGTCGGGGCGGAGCGTCCAGAATCCATTACACTGCAGTTCTCAGCCTGTCTCCTTGCTGTCTTCCAGCATCAGGCCACACAGAATGGTCCCTAGATTCCATCATTGCACCCACTGTGGACAAGCATCAGATAGGAGGGATCAAAAAGATTCTAGCCCAGAGAGGAGGCGCGTCCTCTACAGGCCCTGGTGGCTGCCACTTGCCTTTTGGGAGGGGGTGCCAGGGATCGAACTCGGGTCCTTGGCTTGTGAAGCAGGCAGTAGAACACGTGAGCTAAATCCCGGCCCTTGCCATTTTTGATGACTATGAATGTTTGCAAATATGGTGTGGGTCACACTTCTGCTGTCCGGATCCCAGCTCCCACGCTGAGGGTCTGTGACCCCTGATTTAGGATGTGGCTGTGATCATGCTAGACCCAGCCCGGGATAGGGGCAGCATCCAGCCTGCTCCCTCCCTCCTGTGGCTTGCTGTGACAAGAAAAGTCCTTTTCCCCCTTTTAGAGTTTGTACCGAGCGGGGCCAGGCTATAACATGGTGGAAACGCCGCGAGCTTTTCCTGAGTACCAGGGATTGGACCCAGGGCCTTCGCATTGAGCTAGCGACCTTTCCAGCCCTCTTTATGTTTTGAGATGAGGTCTTGTAAAGCCTCGTGCGCTCTCCATGTCGTCACATTGTTTAGTCTCGTTCAGAGCTGGGCTGGGACTATAGTGGCCCCTGGTCAGATGAGGCCACCAGACCCTGAGACACAGTCACTCCCACTGAGGCATATGGGTAAGCAGAGCACACCCAAAGTTCGCAGGCTTCATGTGAAAAAGAATCTCTAGGGAGCCAGGGATTTAGCTCAGCAGTTTGGTGGCCTGCCTTGCAAGCGCAAGGACCTGAATTCAACCCCCGGTACCCAAAAAAAAGAAAAAGAAAGAAAGAAAATCTCTGTGAGGCCCGGGGATTTAATTCAGCAGTTCCGCTGCCTGCCTCACAAGCACAGGGACCCGAGTTCGATGCCTAGTATCAAAAAAAAAGAATCTCATATTTTTTAATTGATCTCATGTCTAAACAGTAGTTCTAAAGTGGGACGTGGCCAGGTGTGGTGATATACACCTGTAATCCTAGCACAGGAGGCTGAGGCAGGAAGATCACTGCATGTTAGAGGGACTGCATAGTGATTTCGGGAAACGCTATTGGGAAAAAATAATAATAATAATAATAAAGTTCAAGGCCAGCCTGAGTAACTTAGGGAGTCCCTTCCTCAAATTTTTTAAAATAAAAAGGTCTAGAGTGACCAGGTGTGATGCTGCATGTCTGCAGTCCCAGCTCTGTGGGAGCCTAAAGGACGAAGGCCGCAAGTTCCAGCCCAGTGTAGGCAACTTGGTGATGTAGGGAGATCTCGTCTCAAGATATAAAGAGCTTGGGCCGGAGATTTACCTCATTAGTTCCGCCTCCTGCCTCGCAAGCGCAAGGTCCCAAGTTTGATTCCCGATACCAAAAAACAAACAAAATACAAAGAGCTTGCTCTTTGTAAAGTTACTGTAAAGATTTGTTTTTGTTTTTACCAAAGATTTCCTATAGTTTGAAGCAATAAAATATAAAAGTGGAAAAAAAAAAATACAAAGGGCTTGGCAGGCATGGTGGCACACACTTGTAATTCCAGTTCTTGGGAAGCTGAGGCAGGAGGATTGCAAATTTGAGGCCAGCCTGGGCTACATAGTGAGTTCAAGGCCAGCTTGAATTACAAAGCAAGACTGTGTCTCAAAAAAACAAAAACAAGGGCCCGGTATTTAGCTCAGTGGTTCTGGCAGCTAACTGCTTCGCAAGCACAAGGACCTGAGTTCGATCCCCAGTATCAAAAAAAATAAAAAAGGCTGGAGACGTAGCTCAGTGCAAAGGCCCTGGTTCCACCCCTAGCTGCCAAAAATAAAGAAAAAATAAAAAGTAGTAATTCTTTGATATATTGGGTTCCAGACATTTTTCCAGTTTGGGTGTTTTGTTTTGTTTTGTTTTGTTTGAGACAGAGTCTTACTATGTAGTCCATGCTGGCTTTAAACTCACTGTGATCTTCCTGCCTTAGCCTCCCGACTGTTAAGATAACAGGCATGTGCCACCATGCCCCATTAGGATATTTTTTTGGAGTTTAGACTATTTACCTAGGTTTTGTAACTTTAGCTTTCCTAATCTCTTCCTCTTCTTCTCCTTCTCCTCCTCCTCCTTTTCTTCTTCTTCTTTCTCCTCCCCTCCTTTCCCCCTCCCCCCCCATCAAATTCAGGACCTTGAATTTGCCAGGTAGTTAGTTACACAGCTGCTCAGTTACATCCCTGGCCCCCATCTTTCATAATCCAAAATCCTCCAAAATCCTACACTGCTTGAGCGTCACATCGGTGCTTACAAGTAACTGGGGATGTGGTCAGCACCTGCCAGTCATGTGCAAGACCCTGGGTTCCACCACCTACCACCATCAGGTGCTGCAAAACAAAAGTTTCAGATTTGCAGATTAGAAAAACCCAACCTGTGGGTGAAAGGAAATCACTCACCTTAGTGGCTTTTTGTTTTGTTTTGAGACAGGGTGAACTTGCAGTGATATTCATTCCTGCCTCAGCCTACCAAGTTCTGGGATTACAGGTGTGCGCCACTCTCAGATGATTTTTATTTACTTACTTCCCTCTAACCTACTGTGCTAGCCCTTTTTTATTTTGGGGGGCTGGGGACCTAGCTCAGTGGTGCCTCACCTGCCTCGCAAGGTCAAGGTCCTGAGTTCAGTCCCCCAATAACAAAATAGACATTTTTTTTTTTTAATATGGAACGCTTCATGAATTTGCATGTCATCCTTGGGCAGGGGCCGTGCTCATCCTCTCTGTATCATTCCAGTTTTAGTATATGTGCTACCAAAGTGAGCACAGAACCTATTTCTCATTTTTTGTTTTGTTTAGTTTTTTGAGACAGGGTCTCGATTTACGCAGTTCAGGCTGACCTTGAATTCACTACATAGCTAAGACTGTCCTCAAACTTGCATCGATCCTCCTGCCTCAGCCTCCCAAGTGCTAGGATTACAGGCTTGTGCCACCACAGCCAGCTCAGCCCTTTTTCATATTTATTTTTTATTTATTTGTTTGTTTGTTTATTTTGGCTTTTTGAGACAGGGTCTCACTATGTAGTTGAAACTGAACTGGAACTCACTATGTAGCCCAGGTTGGTCTCGAACTCACAGTGATCCTCCTGCCTCAGCTTCCCGACTGCTGGGATTACAGACATGCGCCACCACACCCAGCTTCAGCCCTTTTGTTTTGTTTTGTTTTGTTTTGTTTTGATTTTTTGGTATTGGTTGCGCTTGCAGCAGAACCACTGAACTAAATCCCTGGCCTTAACCCCTTTTTTATAAATATGAGTCAGAGTCTTGCTAAGTTTTCCAGGTTGCACTCAGCCTGCCTCAGACCCGTACCTTGCCTTCCAGAGTGCTAGGATTACAGGCACATGCCGCCACAACAGCCTCTTTTAAAGGGTTTATAATTAAATAGCGGGCTTACACTGTTTCTCCTTGGACAGCACTGCCCTGGACTGTCCACACTGCCTGCCCACCAGCCAGCCCTGTGCGGCCCCCTGACCCTGTGGAGCGCCCTCCGGGTGCCCTTTTTGCATGTTCAGCATGGGCCGATCACAGACCGAAGCCGTGAGGATCCGACGGGGAGAGTAGGGAGGTCGGGGCGCGGCCTGCACACTCCGCGTCGCAGCCATGCTCAGCCTCTCTGCCCTCAAACGCTGCACCAGCCCCTAATGACCTTTGACATGCAGCTCTTCGTCCCTTTGGTGACTCCTAAGGCCACTGTCCTTGCAGAGCTGCCCCCAGTGTCACCTTTGTGCTGCTGTCCAGCCCCGCACTGATCTGTGCCCCGTGGTGTCTGACCCAGTTTGCTCTCCGCTGTAGGGCATGCGTCCCCTCGGTTGCCCTCTTACACCTGACTGCAGGTGTAGGAGCAATGGGTGACACCTGTAGACACCCCCCCACCTCCACAGGTCGATGAGGGAAGTCTCTGCCACATCTGGCACCCCTGACACTGATGATCCAGGAGGCTTACCTGGCACAGGTCCTCCCAGCAGTGCCACGGTGCTTCCTTCCCTTGGGCTCGGTGGCTGGGGATCGCTTGTGGCACTTTTATCCCATTTTTTTCTGAAGCCCCAGGGGCCCCCTTGGCTTCCTGTGTTTGAAAAGTGATGAGTTTGATGGCTGGTCTCTGTCCACATGGGCTCCACGGAACGGAAGTGAGAAGCTTCTGGAAGGCCTGAGGCCAGGTCCTGGGGTCACCTCAGCCTGGGGCCTCTGTCTGGAGGAAGTGAAGCCGGCCTGCCCAAGTCTGCCCGTCGGAGGCAGCGGGGTTTGACAGTTTGTGGGCATGTGACTCAGACTGCCTAGTGCACCACTTTTAACGTGTATGTAGCTCTTGGGGTTTTATTTTGTTTCAGTACCAGTGATGTAGCGCTTGCACTGAGTGACATCCCGAGGTCTTTTTTGTTTATTTGGGGATAGGATTTATTGAGTTTCTGTGTTACCCACGCTGGGCTCAAATGTGCAGTCCTCCTGCCTCAGCCTCCAAATGCTAGGATTACAGGAGTGCACCATCACATCTACCACAGTGGCTTTTCTAGTTTAGGGTATTCACAGTGTTGTATGTCTATTACCCAGTCAATTTTGGAACATTTCCATCAGCCCAGTAGGAAGCCCTGTTCATCTCCATGAACGGTCACCCGTTCCCCCCTTGCCCCGGCACCCCTGAGTCCGCTCCCTGTCCGGGAGGCCCCTGTCCGGGGCGTTTCCTGTCCGTGGAGCCCCACGCTGCGTCCTCTGTGTCTGGCGTCTCACTGAGCGCGGCGTCCTCAGGGCGCATCCACAGCCCCACAGCTTTTCCTCCCGAGTAGACGGACCTCCCTGTGTCCACTGCCCCCCCGTGTTGGATGTGGATGGTCCCCTCTCGGCTCTCATGGGTGGCAGCATGGGCCTTGGTGGCAGAGGCTCTGTTGGGCACAGCCTGGAAGTGACCTCGCCCAGCACCTGGGTTGGTCCTGACTGGCCTTGTGAAGAGCTCCAGGGCCTGGGGCCAACACCCAGCCGCCCCCGAGCAGCCCGGCCTCCCTGCCATTGCAGCTCATCCACCTGGAGATCAAGCCGGCCATCCGCAACCAGATCATCCGCGAGCTGCAGGTGCTGCATGAGTGCAACTCGCCCTACATCGTGGGCTTCTACGGGGCCTTCTACAGCGATGGGGAGATCAGCATCTGCATGGAGCACATGGTGAGGGCGGGGCCGCGGGTGAGGGTGGGCAGGTGCCCTGTGGCCTAGAGACCAGGTCTCCGTGGGGCCAAGTGTGCCCGGGGAGGTAAAGCTGCTGCTGGTCCAAGGGCACAGTCTTCTGCCCTCTGAGGGAGCAGCACCTCGGGAGCCATTGAGCAGGCAGCCAGGCTGGGTGGGGGTGTGGATACCCCTTGGTGGCCTCCATTGTGCCCCTCTGGCTGTGAAACCTTGAACTGGGTGGGATCAAGTGCACCAAAAGCAGAAGCGGTCGGCGACCACCGCCCGGAGGAAGTGCCACCCCTGCCACACATGCGAACCACGGCGACAGGGAGCGGCCGCACTGCCGGCTCTCCTTGCAAAACCAGGATGCGGTGGCTGTTATATCGGCTGGGGTCAGGTCACCATTCCAACGTGCAGGCCTCGGTGAAGGTTTTGTAAGGAAGGCAGGAAATGAATTTGAGCAAGAGCCGCCTCTTAGCTGCGGGGTCCTGGCCTTCACCCCAACCCTGTGGATAGGATATCTTTGCACAGTCCTGGGGTCCTAGAGGGTCAAAGGCAAAGGCAGGAGAAAGGGCTCTGGGGGCTGTAGTGCCCACTCCCTGAGGCCTCCTGCTTCCCTGCATGGGACGGGGAGCCTCGCGTCCTGCCCCCCGCCTTGTGTGCCCGTGAGTGTCCCCAGCACTGTGGAGCCACAGGCCCCTCTGAGGACCTGTGGGCTCCTGCTTCACAGTGATGCTGGGCACTTGGGACAGGAAGTTGTGTGTACAGCCTGCACGCTAAAGACGTGCTCAGGCCAGGTGTGGTGGGGCGTGTCTTTCATTCCAGCATTCTGAGAGGCTGAGGCAGGAGAGTCACAAGCTTAAGCACAGCCTCCTAGTGAGATCCTTTCTCAAACTAAATGAATAAATGAAAAGGGCTGGGGATGCTGCTCAGCCTGCCTGACCTGCTCAGGGCCCTGAGTTTCATCCTTACACATGAATGAATGAATTAATAATTTTTTAAAGCGGGACATGCTCAGGTATGGTCCGCATGCCCATGGTTCCTACTGGTAAAAAAACAAAAACAAAAACAAAAAAAAACACAGAGGCTTGGGTCTGGGGATTTAGCTCAGTAGTTCCTGCACCTGCCTTGCAAGCAGAAGGACCTGAGTTTGATCCCCAGTATGTTAAAAAAAAACAAAACAAAAAAAAACAAAACAGGCTGTTTTTTTGTGTGGTTTTGGTTTTTTTTGGTGGGGGGTACATTTTAGGTATACAATATAATGACATTCATCATTGGAATTTGTACCTTTATGTGATCTGTCTTGGTTCTTATTTTTGCTTGTTTTTTTTTTTGTATTGTTTTTTTGTTTTTTTCCTTTGTAATACTGGGGATCGAACTCGGGACTTTGTGCAAAACCATTGAGCTAGATCCCCAGCCCAGGGCTGTTGATCTTGAAGCAAGGGCGGCTGGCAAGGGTTGTTGGGTGGGGCCAGGTCAATCTGGAGGGGTCAAGGGACCCTTTCGCCTTTCTGCATCCCTAGCCTTGTCCTCACCAGGGTGCTCTCTGAGTTCCCCTGTGTGCCGAGGTTTCCGTGTATGTTCTGTGCCACCTGTCACTGGGGGAATGGGGTGGGCTCCAGGGCTTCCTCTGTGGCCTGAGGTTGAGGCTGCAGTCAGGGTGGGTCAGGCCTCGGGTGGCGCCCGGCACCTGCAGTGTGTTAAGCGGGTGACAGTCTTTGTCCTGCTGCCGCCCCCTGCTGCTGTGTGGCTCCATCACCTCCAGCTCTTCTGCCTCTTTCCCATCACGTTCCACCTGCTTGGTTAGCGCCTGTCACAGTCCCTTCTCTGTTGCTGGGGCGGAGACCTCAGGTGGCTGGGGTGCACTGAGAGGGGTGACGCGGCACCCAGGTGTGGGAGCTGGGAGGCCCAGACTGTGGCAGGGTGTCTGCTGGCTTCCAGGGGGCTTCGAGCCTCAGTATGACACCGGACAGTGGGAGGAAGGGGCACCTCTTGCTCTGTGATCAGGGCTTACCCAGGCCCCAGTCTCCCCTACCTCCCCTCCACGCTGTTCCATTAGAGACCACTTCTGTGGTTTTACAGGGACAAGCCACCCACAGGCCCCAGCAGTACTCCTGTGTCCCTAATCGGTTTTGTTGTTGTTGTTGTTGTTGTTGTTGTTTGTTACTGGGGATCGAACTCAGGACCTTGCACTTGTAAGGCAGGCACAGTGCCACTGAGCTAAATCCCTGGCCCTTTTTTGGGGGGGTTACTTTTGAGATGGGGCCTTGCTATGTAGCCCAGGCTGGCCTCAAACTCATGGCATTCTCCTGCATCCACCTCCTGAATGTTGGGATTATAGGCACGCGTCACCGCACCTAGCTAGAGGGTCCCTAATTTAAGAGGCGCCTCCACCTCTGTCCCAGCAAAGCCTGTGTGTACACTGTCTCTCATTTCCGGTCTCGAGTCCAACTCCGGCCTACAAGAAAAGGCTCCTAAATTATAAAGGGCCTTATTAAAATTAATACCTAAGCTTAGTATTTATTGATAATACTTATAGATTGATATAACTAATCACAGTACAGTCAGACTAGGCTCAAACTCATGATCCTCTTGCCTCAGCATTTTTTTTTTA